TCTGGAGTCAAATCCATGCAGGCATCCTGACCCAGACACATCCAGAAATCCCTCTTTGGGGTTGAACAGACCCACCCCCCTTTCCTGTCCTCTCCCAGACCCAAAGGGAAAAAACAAACTTAACAAAGGCAGGTTTGCACCAACCAGACAAGGCTGTGTGGATGACTTTTCTATGGTGCCTGGTACACATTACCCCCACAGGGACGCATGGACTGTCCCCTGGGGTCCGAGGAGTCAGACTGGGGATAGAATCACCATGGAGTTTCGAGGCTGAAGCCAGAAGGTCGTCTCTCTGGCCGCAAGCTACTGTCTGCTGTGAGGATACCCCTCTGAGGGTCTTTCCCCCTCTACAGCTTATTTTCTTTGGACATTAACTTTACAAAAGGACCCACGTTTCAAAATTTGAATTCAAGGTTAGCTGGTCCAAGATAGGTGATGGAAATTACTCAAAAACCAGAGAGCAAATATTTGGGTGGGGAGACGTTTTATTTTTTAAATAGATAGGAATGCTACAAAATAAGTTTTACAGTGAATATCAAAATCAAGAACAGGAACCACAGACCCTTTTTTTCCCAAAAGCACTATAAATAATTCTCCTATTTATTAAAGTCAGTTATAGGGGCAGAAAAAGAGAAAGAGAAGGAACATATAAGGGTAGGAGAAATAAAAAGGCAAAAAGTCTGTAATCAATAAAAATACTAATAGCTGATGTGTATTGTGCTAGGTACTATACTAGGCACATTTCTTAGATTTTCTCATTTATTTGTCCTCCAAACCCCAGGAGATGAATAATGGTACTGCCACTGTTTTTGAGTGGGGAAACTGAGGCACAATGATTTTGAATAATTTGCCCACTAACAGGACCAAAAAGGGAGAAGCCAGCATGGAAATCCAGTTCTCTGTCATCACAAAGCATCAGCTTTAAGAGACGAAGATACAGAAAGGAATCTATCCTTCTCTCTTCAGGATTCCACAGCTAACTACTTCCCTGTATCATCTCTCGACAATAGGAATTACAGGGGAAATTTTGTGCTTCAGTGGAGAACTATGCACTGTCTCCCCACAGCACGGCCTCCCTGGGTGACCTGACTTCAGCACTCTTTGCCCTTGAGGCTTTTTACAACTCAGTACAGGTAGATAACCAGCAGCAGCACAAGTGCAAATTCCAACCTGCCCCAGAGAAGTTCGGGGACTTCCCTCCCACGCTGCGGAAGAAGCTGGCTGTGCTTCCATTTGCACGTTCATTTCAACATTCTTCTATCAGTGTACTTCTTGGCAGAGAGGGGCTGGCTTCCTCTTTGAAGTGGTTATAACACCCTTACCAGCATCCTCATTAATGAGTTAAATAAAATACTTAACCATATGCTCATTTTTATATCTGAATAGAGTCATGATTTTATGTTTTTAAAAAAATTATTTCTTAACAGAATTATCAAAGCAGATCAGAGCATCTCTTTGTTGTTTTCTGGAGGACCCTAAGTGTGGTCTAACCCAAGTGGTCTCAAGAAGGCCTGGGGAGCTGACATTAGTGTGTAAGTTAGGTTATTTGTAGCTTAACATCACCCAGATAATTTCCTGTCAAATGTTCTGTTCCGTACATGACAAAACCTCCTGGGCAAAAGCCCCAGTCCCCTCACTTTGGCTGGTCTTCTTACTGTTGACTGGAGAACATTAATCTGTATATAAATTATATAATTCCATCCCACCGTAGTGTCTCCATTACTTCTATCTTATGCTGAACCTCATGGGCTATCTCCATTAGGTGGCTGAGAAAGGGCTTGAGAACATTTGTTCTGAAAGCAATAATAAAATAAACACAAGATCCATCTCTTTATCTGCAGTACAAAAGCACCACACAATTCCATTTTCTTCAACCTTAGATCTACGAAGATCTCGGAGCCAATTCCTACTACACTTGGTAAACTACGTTGTGTCGTGCAGGCTTTGGAGTTGGACAAACATAGTTCAAATCCCATTTCACCACTTACTGGAATGTGGATTTGGGTAACTCAGTAACCTTCCTAAGACTCAGTTTTCTTCTCTGCACAAAGGGAATAATCATACCTGAGTCACAAAGTGGTTCCTGACATTTCAGTGAGAGCACATAGAGATTCTGGCATCTTGGGAAACTAGCCCCTGAATTGCTAACCTCTGACTTCTAGGTCCGCCTAGGAAACAAGGACTAACCACATAAGCAAGACACCTTGTCAGTAGGAAGCTGATAAGACACTGGCAGCACTTGTAGCAGATTGCTGGGAACTCTTACCAATTCCTTGCAGCCAAGGACTTCATTTGCTAATCCCAGAAAGCTTGTGAAGTGAGACTATTAAACAAAAAACACTGCGGGCAATGTGCAAAGAGAAGATGCAAACTGGGAAAAGATATTTGCAACACATATAACCACAGAGAGTTAAAATCAGGGAGAAAAACACTAATGAACTAACAGAAATATGGGCAAAAGATATGAACAAGCAATTTATAGCAGAAGAAATTTGAATGCCTGACGACATGCATAAAAGGATAATCATCCTTACCAGTAATCAGAAAGGTGAAGATTAAAACAAGATACCATTTTACATCCATCAAACTAGTGAAAATGAAATAATCTGATACTGTCAAGTGTTTGTGATAATATGGAAGAATTGGAGAAGCATTCACTTTTTGATAATGTGTTCACTGGTATACCCATTTTGGAGAATAAATTGTCAACATCTAGTAATACTGAAGAGACCTTGTCTTGCAACCCACTAATTTCACTTCTAGGAGTGAATTCTAGAAGCTCTCCCTTGTGAACAATGCAAATCCATTGCCACATTGTCTGTAATAGCAAAACACAGACAAATGAAAGAGTAAACGACACAGACATCCATCAAATTGTGAGATGCTTGTGCAGTGGGACCATTTATAGCAGTTTTGTCAACAGAGATGAATCTCAAAAATATAATGCTGAGTGAAAAAATAAGTTATTTACAGATAAATAAGTAGAGCATAAAAATTTGTAAACCTACATAATAATGATATGTATTTTACAGCTACCTACATATGTTGCAAACATATTCATAAATGAGAATGATAGGCACCAAACTCAGGATGGGGTTGCCTCTGAGAAGGGAAAAATGATATTAGATTTGGGAAGAGGTTATACAGGCATATACGTATTTAATTTTTTAACAAAAATAGGAAACATATGGTAAAATGTTAGGAACTGATGGATCTAAGTAGCAGGGTGGTATTCATAAATATTTTTTATACTGTGTGCTTGAAATCACTACAGCTTTTTTTAAATGAGTGCCCCAATTTAAAAAATATGTAAAAAAGTAATTATTAGCTAGCATACAAAATATATAATCATTAATAGGTAATTCATAAAGAAAGAAACTATCCAATAACAATGAGGGTGGTGGTAAATTCAACTTTAACTCACTGGTAAAAAAAAATTAAAATATACGCATACCATTTTGACTTATCAGTCTGGCATGAAATTGCAAGAATATAAATAGCTAATGTTAATGAGGAGGAAGGGGGGGAGGGAAGAGCACATCCACTCACTGTTGATGGGAACTCAAAATTTCATAAATGTACTTAATGTGACAGTATAAGGGAAAAGGCAAAATACATATGCATATACACATATATTACAACCTTTTGTCTCAGCAATTCTACTTTAAAAAATATAAGCAAAGGAAGTGATCAGAAACGTGGAACCAAGATTTACGCTTAAGCATGTTTATAGCAGCATTGTTCGTAACAGTGATACCTTAGCTACATTAAACTTGATGACAATAGGGAAATGAGTCATTTGGCACACCTATAGAATGCAATACTCTATTTCAAATAATGTTTTAAAATAATATGTAGTGCCACTGAAATATGTCACTAATATGTGGTTAAGACAGGTTATCAAAGAGCTTGTACAATATATTTACAGTTGTATGTCTAAAATAGATATGGACAGGAAAAATAATTTGGAAGGTATCCACACTAAAATGTCAACAGTGGTAATCTCTGAGTGGTGGAATTTTTCTTTTTGCTCTTCATTATCTTGTTTTTCAATAATAAACATTTATTGATTTTATAATAGCAAAAGTTGCTAAAATGAAAACATTCACCAAAATAAGCTTTGCTTGATTGAAGATTTAAATATAAAATCTAATTATAGAAGCACTGGCAAAAATTTGAGAGAAGTGTTTATCACCTCTCTGGGGAAATTTTAACTTTCTCAGCTTTGTAGCAATTTTAATGATTGCACTATAAAATTAGCATTACTAAAGACTTTTTTAAGGAGGGAATCTATTTCTATCAAGTGTTGCAAAGAATTAAGATCTATCACAAATAGCTAATTCAAATTTGTAAAATAAATGTCAAGATCCCGAGAGATAAATAGGTAAAAGACAAGACCATTCCCATGAGGGAAATACAATTAGTAGACAAAAACAGTGGGAAAATGTTAATTCTCTCTAGGTATCAAAGAAATGTAAATGAAAGCAGTCTGAAGATGACAATTTACATATTCTAAAAGGACTTAAAAAATTAAATGTTAATATCCAATGCTGGTGAAGCTGCCCAGAAATTGACTCATATTCATTTACAACCATATTGCTCCCACCCTTTAGGCAGGAATGTTGCCACTAAGTAGTTATTCTTGAGTTATTTGCCAAAAACGGACAGGTCCCTCCTCATCAACTTGAACTCTGAATGGCTCAGCCCTTTGTTACCTTCTCTTTTATGTCTACATGTGCTGAATCCCACCTACATACTCAGAGCCTTTCGTCATAGGTCTCCAGGGAGAAAGCAGATCTGAGCAGGGATTACCTGGGGGTGGAGGAAAGGATGAGGGTGGGAGAGGTGGAACCTGAGGGTGGTTCAGGCCCTCTGAACTCAAAGGGACAATGAAGACAAGAGATGCCTAAGTCAAGCTTTGTCATAATATTAATCCCTTCCATTAATGACCAGATATCCCAGGCTTTTTCTACTAGGGAGTACCAGTGAGGTCCCCAAGGATTCCCTAAATTGCAGGGGCCCTCATCTTGCCTGCGGGCCACCAGATTTCAGCTGCAAACCTCCAAAATCTGAGGGAATTCTTTTTTGAGATAGTCCACTCATGTTTTGACCTCCTTGCTGAAGCCTGTAAGCCAATTAAGATGGGCACTTCAGCACTCCCTCCCTCCATGCCTTCTAGGAGAGCCTTGCCCTGCTAGGAGCCAGAACTTTCCCTCTGCTGGTGACCACTCAGGCCCCCGAGGCAATGTCGTCAAGAAGCAACTGCTTGGACTCCCAAGTCTCACACAGTCTCTCTGTTCCACAGAGACACTCGTGCATCGGAGATCCCAGTCTAGGGTCTTTACTTCACGTAGCGCCCTTTGATTGCTTGAGGATGCTTGCGTTAGGAAGGATGGAACTCGGCTCCGTGTTGCAGGGAAGTCACTGAGAAACCAAAGTCAAGAAAGCAAAGTCAGTTTTAATGCACTCTGCACAGACTAACCTGCCTAAGGCAAGACAAGCCCAGCTGCTCATTCTGAGGCTTCTTTTATGTGGTTTGGGCAGGGCAGAGAAGTCCTTGATTGACAGCTCGGCCTCTAGGCTTGTTCTGATTGGTGCAATGAGGACATGGGCTGTGCTGTGCCTGTGCTTCTGATGTTTCTTATCTGAGGAGACCCTGGACATCTCCTGAGTCACTCTTGGACACTGTGGCTTCATCTGGTTAACTTTAGGAGTCATTTCTGGCTCTCTGACTCTATCTGATCAACTCCCTGTGTCATTTCTGGGGGGCCTCTCTCTCCTTTCATCCTGCTCATTTCTGTCTTTCTGCCCAACACTTGGAGATTTACCACCATCATCCTCATGACCTTGTGAGGTCAGTAGCACAGGTTTCATTATCCCCATTGTGTGGAAGTCACGACTTACCCAGTGCAGAGCTGGGCTCGAACGCAGATCTTTGATGTCTCTTGCCATGGCACCAAGTTTGGCCAAGACTGGGTCTCTCTAACATGTTAACAGCCTGGCATTTCCTTCCTTGTTTACACATTGCCTGTGAAAAATGAGCAATGACAGTTACTTTGCTATCAAGAGCTAAAACAAGCAGTTTTGTTCTGAAGATGATATGATAGTAAAAGGAAAGAGTCCCAGAGGCAAGGAGCCCTGTATAAATCTGTGTTCTCCTCCCAGCACCAAGATCCCAATTACACACCCGCTGACCTCTGAGATGGAATCACTGCTGTTTCCTAAGGCATCAAAAGGATGATTCGCTCTCCCGAGTCCTCTGTGTAGCCTGACAGTCAGATTTGGTGATAGGAGTGGAATTGTGGAGTGAAAAATGGCTCTCTCCAGGGAATCACTCCAGTGGCCATAAATTTAATGGAAGCCTACACACAGCACTATTTCCATCCTCCTATCCATGAACTTTGCCTAGAGGTGAAGCTCCTTCCCCAGCCTGACTCCTGTGCAAACCCGTGCTCCCAACCCTGCCTAAGGAAAGGGAGAACACATCTGTGGGGTCCACCTGAATAATCTTAACAGTTTCTCAGAGCATGAGACCTGAAATTGGGGCTTCTGGAGTCAAATCCATGCAGGCATCCTGACCCAGACACATCCAGAAATCCCTCTTTGGGGTTGAACAGACCCACCCCCCTTTCCTGTCCTCTCCCAGACCCAAAGGGAAAAAACAAACTTAACAAAGGCAGGTTTGCACCAACCAGACAAGGCTGTGTGGATGACTTTTCTATGGTGCCTGGTACACATTACCCCCACAGGGACGCATGGACTGTCCCCTGGGGTCCGAGGAGTCAGACTGGGGATAGAATCACCATGGAGTTTCGAGGCTGAAGCCAGAAGGTCGTCTCTCTGGCCGCAAGCTACTGTCTGCTGTGAGGATACCCCTCTGAGGGTCTTTCCCCCTCTACAGCTTATTTTCTTTGGACATTAACTTTACAAAAGGAACCACGTTTCAAAATTTGAATTCAAGGTTAGCTGGTCCAAGATAGGTGATGGAAATTACTCAAAAACCAGAGAGCAAATATTTGGGTGGGGAGACGTTTTATTTTTTAAATAGATAGGAATGCTACAAAATAAGTTTTACAGTGAATATCAAAATCAGGAACAGGAACCACAGACCCTTTTTTTCCCAAAAGCACTATAAATAATTCTCCTATTTATTAAAGTCAGTTATAGGGGCAGAAAAAGAGAAAGAGAAGGAACATATAAGGGTAGGAGAAATAAAAAGGCAAAAAGTCTGTAATCAATAAAAATACTAATAGCTGATGTGTATTGTGCTAGGTACTATACTAGGCACATTTCTTAGATTTTCTCATTTATTTGTCCTCCAAACCCCAGGAGATGAATAATGGTACTGCCACTGTTTTTGAGTGGGGAAACTGAGGCACAATGATTTTGAATAATTTGCCCACTAACAGGACCAAAAAGGGAGAAGCCAGCATGGAAATCCAGTTCTCTGTCATCACAAAGCATCAGCTTTAAGAGACGAAGATACAGAAAGGAATCTATCCTTCTCTCTTCAGGATTCCACAGCTAACTACTTCCCTGTATCATCTCTCGACAATAGGAATTACAGGGGAAATTTTGTTCTTCAGTGGAGAACTATGCACTGTCTCCCCACAGCACGGCCTCCCTGGGTGACCTGACTTCAGCACTCTTTGCCCTTGAGGCTTTTTACAACTCAGTACAGGTAGATAACCAGCAGCAGCACAAGTGCAAATTCCAACCTGCCCCAGAGAAGTTCGGGGACTTCCCTCCCACGCTGCGGAAGAAGCTGGCTGTGCTTCCATTTGCACGTTCATTTCAACATTCTTCTATCAGTGTACTTCTTGGCAGAGAGGGGCTGGCTTCCTCTTTGAAGTGGTTATAACACCCTTACCAGCATCCTCATTAATGAGTTAAATAAAATACTTAACCATATGCTCATTTTTATATCTGAATAGAGTCATGATTTTATGTTTTTAAAAAAATTATTTCTTAACAGAATTATCAAAGCAGATCAGAGCATCTCTTTGTTGTTTTCTGGAGGACCCTAAGTGTGGTCTAACCCAAGTGGTCTCAAGAAGGCCTGGGGAGCTGACATTAGTGTGTAAATTAGGTTATTTGTAGCTTAACATCATCCAGATAATTTCCTGTCAAACGTTCTGTTCCGTACATGACAAAACCTCCTGGGCAAAAGCCCCAGTCCCCTCACTTTGGCTGGTCTTCTTACTGTTGACTGGAGAACGTTAATCTGTATATAAATTATATAATTCCATCCCACCGTAGTGTCTCCATTACTTCTATCTTATGCTGAACCTCATGGGCTATCTCCATTAGGTGGCTGAGAAAGGGCTTGAGAACATTTGTTCTGAAAGCAATAATAAAATAAACACAAGATCCATCTCTTTATCTGCAGTACAAAAGCACCACACAATTCCATTTTCTTCAACCTTAGATCTACGAAGATCTCGGAGCCAATTCCTACTACACTTGGTAAACTACGTTGTGTCGTGCAGGCTTTGGAGTTGGACAAACATAGTTCAAATCCCATTTCACCACTTACTGGAATGTGGATTTGGGTAACTCAGTAACCTTCCTAAGACTCAGTTTTCTTCTCTGCACAAAGGGAATAATCATACCTGAGTCACAAAGTGGTTCCTGACATTTCAGTGAGAGCACATAGAGATTCTGGCATCTTGGGAAACTAGCCCCTGAATTGCTAACCTCTGACTTCTAGGTCTGCCTAGGAAACAAGGACTAACCACATAAGCAAGACACCTTGTCAGTAGGAAGCTGATAAGACACTGGCAGCACTTGTAGCAGATTGCTGGGAACTCTTACCAATTCCTTGCAGCCAAGGACTTCATTTGCTAATCCCAGAAAGCTTGTGAAGTGAGTGTGGGACATGGTGCACATGTGCCCTGCTGCAGAGAAGGGCTTGGGCCATTTCAATCTGAGCAATGGCCCAGCCCTGCCTCATAACAAGCATGCGGACGGTGCCCTAGGGACCCCATAGGCAGAAGCCTTGGGACCCAGAGCAAGCAAGCCAGCAAGCAGGTGGCCCACCTGCCCCCGCTCTGCCTTTGGTTTGTTGCAATCAGCTGTTGGGGAGGAAGAACTCTCCTCTACCCCTCAAGGCTCTTCTAGCTGGTCTTAAGAATCAAACTGACGTGAGACAGATTAATACGAGAAAAAAACAAAGTCTAATTACATACGTATGGTAAAGCCATAGACATGGGTTCCAAAGAGAGTCGGGGAGAATGAGGTATCTATGTCATCCTGAACCAAGGAGAAGGGACAGGGGTCTGAGACTTCAAAGGGAAGAGAAGTAATTCACAGGAATAAGAAAAAAGTAAACGTTTGATAAACAAAATACTTGATGGGCCACACAGAAACAGTGGCGCACAGAGAGAAGTTTTAACAGGCTTAATCACCTTGCCCCCAGCCCACCACACCTAGTCAACATGTCAACATTATAGACTCTATGGCGACAGCTCTCCTCCCAGAGAAGTTCCTCTAAGTTCTTTCTCTGCAGCGGATGGGGGGCAGGAGGTCAACCTTTCTTTCTGCATTTTTTGGGCCTCAATTGTTTTCAACTTGAAAATCATCCACATGTCACCATGGCACATCTTGGGACAGCCCGCCCGTCCCTACACAGTCAATTGAGTTCCCGGCTGAGGGGCCCAGCATGCTCACCTCTCACCGGGTCCAAGCACAGCCACAAGCCCCCCGAGGAGGCAGACAGTCTGGCCCCCACCTGCCCTCTTTCCCACAAAGGAGAACGCTGTGGGCAAACTTTAAGGAGCCACCAGTGTTACATGTCTATCTGGCTATTCAAAACCAACTTAAGTCTTTAATTCCTTCTGCTCACAAGCATAATGCAATCAGAGAAGATAAGATTGTCTGTTCTACTGGAACTACTAAAATCATACAATGGCATTATTAGTTCCAGAGGATCCAGTCACAAAAATAGACTGCTCTGGTGTGGGAGGTTTGGATTGTTTTTTTAGTTGTTCTACACACCAGCAACTGAAATTCTAATGAGGAAAATAAATGGTCCAACACAGAGCAGGAAACATAAACAAGTGCAAAAAGAAATGTCAACTCTTTGCTTCCTAGCTGCTTGTCTCTAGCCTTTAGACTTTGGGAATGACGGAGCCCTAGACCTTACAGGGACCAGAAGTCCTTGCAGTTGATCTACGTTAATTAGACGTGTGAGCTTGGACTAGGAATCTCAGGACCTCAGTTTTCTCCTGTTAAATGCAGGAAATAATTCCTGCCTCATTTGTTACAAAAATAAAAGAAGCTCTGACTGTGCCAAGAACTGTTAAGAGCACTTTCCAAGTGACAGTGTTTAATTTCACAATTCCATTTTACAGATGAGAAAACTGAGGCAGAGCAAGGTTACATACTTTGCCCAAAGTCACGCAATTAGTCAGGGGCAGAGTCAACACAAAGGTTACTCTGCAAAGGGTAATCAATGCAAGCATGATAATCTTGGATGAATAAGTACCTGCCTAAAGTGCTGGAAACACTTCATTCTTTAAATAGTCTAAAACATTGTCTACAATCTTATTTTTTTCTTTTGTTTGTTTACTAGTCTTTAAAAAAACATAGATAAGGAAAAGGTTAAACTCCAGGTCAACCTCTTTCCAAATGAGGACATGTTCCAAGCCAACTCGAAGTGTCCCTACTTGTTTTGTTGTTGTCCCACATGGTACAAGAAAGTCTACGCAGATCATGGTGACCTAATAGAAGCTTGGTCATTTTCCTGGTGGCAGCCTGGACCCAAGCAAGGGTAAGAGAGAGTAGTCGTTTTCCAATGACATGAACCTGAAAACTTCATAGATGTCATCTTGGAAGGGGCGTGGGGTTAAACTATAGGAAAGAAAGCCCAGTGCAGTCCTGAGGAAATCAGGGTTCGTGGTTGCTAAGAAAACTGACCCTGAACTCACATGGCCCTGATTTCCCTGCTCAGCCTTTTACTGGTAAGATATGGTTTGTCCCAGTTTTTGATATCTTAAATCTCAACTGTAAAAGGAGGGAAATAATAGCACCAACCCAACCTGGCTTCTCCTTCCAGGGACTTGCTCTCTTTGTCTCTGTAGCATATTCATTGTCTTCTCCTGATTAACTTTCTTATCACCATCTCACCAAGGAAAAAGGTTACATTCAGGTCATCAGATGCCAGTCTCTTGAAATCTCTTTTTCTTTAAGGTCTTCAAATTAAAGGAGAGTAAAAATTGGGCAATTTTTAGGAATCTAATTATAAAACCATTATTATTTTAGACTGAGGATTACATTGGGGCTGAGAATTCTGCTGGCGGCTTCAGCCTCCATGGGGCCCAGGCCTGACCCTTTTCAGCTCATGGGAAATGAAGAGTCCTCCTTAAACCATTGGCTTCCTTGGGTAGGGGGAGAAGTGACTGAAGATCCCACCAATGGATGTAGTGACTGTTCAGATGTACTGACTGAGTCAACCACATTGCAGTCAGCTCATTAAGGCCTGGGAGCCATTCTCTCTACAGCAGAGGCATCACACTTTTATCATTTTAAAAAATTTTAAACACCCCAAATATAAATTATACAGCACTAATATATTACATAGTACTATATACAAATCATACAGTGTGAATATAAAATAAACATTATATATACACAAACAAAATTTCCTGAGGTGATGTCTTTGTCCATTCAGGCTGCTATAATAGAATATCATAGACTGGATGGCTTATAAACAACAGAAATTTATTTCTCACTGTTTCAGAGGCTGGAAGGTCCAACATCAAGGTGCCAGCAGCTTTGGTGTCTGGTGAGGTCTCTCGGATGGCTGTGCTCTTATTGTAACCTCACATGGAGGGTCAGGCTGGGTCTCTTTTAAAAGGACATTCCCTCCACCCATATGGGCTCTGCTTTCATGACCAAAGGCCGAACGTCTAATACCATCACCCTGCGGGTTAGGTTTCAACACAAATGTTAGGGGACCACAAACATTCAGCCTATAGCAGGTGGTTAAGAAATATCTGAGAGGTCTGTGCATGACATCCCTGTGTTTGTAGAGGTGTGAATCTCGGTCCACAATTCTGATGTACAAAAACTGTCTTTATTTTCTATAACCCGTCCAAATTACTAGCTCCAGACTCCTATCTTTCAGGCCCTCCTGGGTCCCTTCTTCCCACTCTCCTGGCCCACTTATGCCCATTTAGCTCTGGATCAGACACAATACCCAGGCCAGGGCTTGTGGGTGAGCACTCAGTCCTCTGTCATCAGTCCACACAGGTGACCACTGAGGAGCCCGCCCTCCCCGCCTTACACAACCCGTTAGCTCTGGAGGCTCAGTACTGCTCGCAGCCCACACCAGGCACGCAGGCATCTTTTGCCCACCTGACACCACACAGCCATTTCCTCTCTGGGTTCTTACCACCTTCTAGCGGGGTTCTGGGAAGCAAGGGCCTGTCCCTCCACCTGCAGACCTTGCACAGATCTCTGCCCCTCCACCCACTGCAAAGCCCAAGAGACTCTTTAGTGATGGGAAGTTGGGGTGCTCCTGCTCCCTTCACATCCCCTTAGAACATATTTAGGCTTTTGCTTGTGTTTGTTGGTTAGCATTCAATAGCCTGGGTCCTAAGTTTTGGGAAGACCAAACATTGTAGACCTCTTGCTCTTTTACCACTTAGGAGGAGTGATATGGGGGAGACGTTGGGAGAAGAATAATACTAAGTTGATATCTCAAAATGCTATCTCCGGCTCATGTTATCCCATTTTACAGGTGAAAAAATTGGAATTCACTAAAGTTAAGTAACATTTTGCACAGGGGATAGATAGTTGACCCAGGATCCCCAGGTTCTGGAAACCCCATTCTCTACAGTCTTCCCATCTTCCCTCCCAAGAGCTTCCCTGGCCAGCCTCAAGGAAACACAACAGAGCTTGTGCATTAAAATCACCAGAGGAAGGTGATGTGGCAGGCAGGCAGAGCTTGGGCAGAGGAGGAAACAGATACCACCCCTGAAAGGGAACAGACATCACTCCTGATCCCACCCCGGGAGAGCCTCACACACTTGAGTTGGCATGAGATGGTGGAGGAATTTTTGGTGAAGCAAGGACTTACAAGAGCTAGAGCTCTGAAGGCCTCTTCCCATGTAGAAAGTGGTAAGAAAGTGTGTTATTCTACAGGCCTCTGAAGAGGAAGTAGTTGCTTGGTATCGTAGAGGCACTTGATATTGCTGGTGTCCTGGGGAGTTAACCTGCAGAGCAGATCACTGTGTCACCCAACTGCATACCCAACACTTCCAACTGGATGTCTAAAGGGTAGCTTTTAGACATGGCCAAAACTGATTCCCAGTCTCCCCCACAATCAGACCTGCTCCACTCACAGCCTTCCCCATCTCAGCTGGTATAAACTCCGTTGTCCTGCTTGCTGCAGCCAAAATCCTTGAAGTTGTCCTCAACTCCTCTCTTTCTCTTGCATCCCACATCCCAGTAGTCAAAGCTCTTTTCTTCCCTTTGGGCTGAGGCTGAGATTTGAAATATTGCTCCCGCAACCCTGCATCCCCAGAGGGAGACTTAGGCAACCATGTGGGAGCCACTACCGCTGACCTGTGGCAGAATTTCTAAACACAACACATTAACTTTAAATCGATTAATTTGGAACTGTGACCTTGGCCCAAGAAAGTAAGAATACATGACAAGATACTCTATTTTCAACATGTATGAGGATAAAAGCACTTTTATAAGTCAAGCTTTTTTGTGTTATATGCAGTTAGACCTGAAGTTGGGACTAGCAAGGAAAGTATCTGACCACTAGATAACAGATGTGAAGGTTAATTATTAATGGGCAGCCTTCCCTAACAAAGTATCAACAGGCAATCTGGTCTCTTTAACTTCAGAAATTAGCAAGAAGACCTTGGACCCCGGCAGAGACAGGAGAAATGGAAAGTCCCCTGTGTGTCTCTATTTTCTTGGTTTTGTGCATCTTTATCCAATCAAGTGCCTGTGGACAAAGCCTTCAACTCGGTAAGAACCTGCCTCTTCTGTGGAGATGGGCATGGATTTTCTATTTTATATGTATGTCACAAAGAATCCAAGTGTTCTTGGTTATGGGGGACAGAGCCTGCTCCAGAGCATATGAGTGGTTCTGTTAGTGGCCTCACGGGCCACAGAGAGATGTGGCTGTTTGTAAGCAGGATTGGAATTTTAGGAAATGACTCTGGGAGTAAGAGGTCTTCTAACAGTGCTGGCGGCTAACATTGAAGTGTCTCACATAGCTGATTCGGATATAGTCATGCTAAGACTTCTTCTGTGGAGAATAACCTGAAAGGGTTTCAGATTATCCTGAGAGTTAATTTGGCATCTAATTTGCAAGTGGGGAGCCCAGCTTGCAATGCAATGCCCCATCTTGCTGAGGTTGTCTAATTTCTAGCTCTCAAAAGAGAGAGGAATTTGTAGAGCCCAGTTACAGGCCAGTCTAAAGTAGAGAGATCATTACACATTATCTAGACTTCAGTTTTTCTGCCCAAGTTATACTCTGAGACCAAGGAATTCTACAGCAGTAACACTTGTTGGGTCCAAGACAGATCCAAATACTTGATCAGGTAGGTGGATTCCAGGTTCCTCCCTAAGCAGGGCACTGGGTCAGTAAATGACCGGTATGAAGTGAACTGAACCATTTGGCCAGATCAGGCATGTATTTTGGACTTTGTTTCTATGCCAATTACTGGCCAGGAGCTAGTAACTCTAAGGTAGAGGCTTAGATTTCTCTTTCCTCAAAGACTGTTTGTAAGAAGCTCCAAAAACCTTGAGAATCAGGAATTTACTAATCAGAGGCATACCTGAAAATTCCAGAACCATTTTTTTTTCTCTCCTTAAGAAAAAAGGCTACTCCTTTGTATTTAATTATTATGTTGTATCCTAGGTCACTTAATAACTTATTAGCAGTATTAATTATTACCATTTACTGAGCATTTTACGTGCCAAGCAATATGCTAATTATTTTGCCTATGTGACCTCATTTATAGAGCCATGTCCAAAAATGATAATAATAATTTAGAGCTATATAGGCAACATTGCAATGACTTTTATTCCCTGGTTTCAGAGGAATTTTGCTGAAGGACTTATCCTGACCTTTGGCCCAGAATGTAGTTTTTGTTTATTTTTTATTCAAGTATAACCTATAACTAGAAAAGTGTGTATATCTTAAGTGCTTAATGAATTTTTACCCCCTTAACCCACATCCAGAAACCTCCATTGTGCCCCCCTTGCACCTTAAACGGATAAAATGTGCCTTTGGGGGAACTTTTCATTAATGGATGCATACAGCATGGGCTCTCCCGCTCCTGGCTTCTTTCACTTAACACTGTGTCGGGGAGATTGGCCCACACACTTGCGTGTGGTGGTGACCCGCACATTATGGTTGCTGTAGCATTCCACTGTGAGAATATGCTCCCTTCGTTTATCCATCCTGCTGTTGATTGACCCAGGCTGTTTTTCAGTGGAAACCTGGGGGTTGGATGGGAGCCATCCGTGCTGACGTGCAGGTTGAAGGGCAGGACGACCTGGCAGGGCTGCTGGTATTGTCCTGACTTCCCTCAACAAAACTTGTGCTGGTCGGCTGCTGCTTTCCCAAAAGGTGCTTTGTCCAAAAGCTGAGGGAAGTGGCCGTGATTAGCGGGAGGTTCCTCAGGGCAAAGGATCAGAGGCAGGAGGCCTCTTGCTATCTTGAGAGCAGAATGTCTTAGCAGAATTCATTCTGCAAGGAGTGAGGCAGATCTGTACACGTGATGCTGGCCGACCCTGGGGCCCTTCATGGAGGCGAGCATCCCCTGTGAAGTCCTTGTCAGTTGCATGTCTAGACTGGTGGTTCCCAGACAGGCGGAAACTGCCCCCCAGGAGACATTGGTCATGTCCAGAGATGTTTTTGGTTGTCACATCTGGGAGAGAGTGCTATTGGCATGTAGTGGGTAGAAGCCAGGGAGGCTGCTGAGCTTCCTGCAATGTACAGGACACCCACCCATCCACACAACAGTCAATTATCCAGGGCAAAATGTCACCAGGGCCAGGGTGGAGAAACCCACTAAAGATCCCACTAATATGTATCCCTCCCTCCAGTACCAGCCACTGCTTCCAGATCTGAAAAGCAACTGAAACCTATCTGTTCATTCATTGCACGAGTGTGCACAGGCACCTGCCATTTGTAGGGCAGCCCATTGGTGCTGCAGTTTGCAGACTTCCTGGTCTCAGGAAGCCACTGCACTCTGAGAAATAATCGAGGACTCCATAGAAGTTTTTTATGTGGAATACAGCCATCAAACTTTACAATATTAGAGATTAAAACTGAGACTTTAAAAAAAATTGTAATGCTTTTAAAAATAACAGGAGCCCACCACAAGTCAGTTTGTCTAACATAAGATGTATTTTGAATTTTCCAAACAACAACAAAAAGTGAGTCTGAAGAATGACACTGTTTTTCAAAGAAATTTTTCACGTTTCTTTAATGTCTGGCTTAATAAGAGATGGTTAAATTCTTTTAACTGTTTCCGTATCCAGTGTGCTGTGATATGTTGCTTTGTTTGGGTTTGTGGAGAAAATCGGCCTTGCACGTAGGTGCCCCCTGCACAGCTGGTCCTGCTCCTCCACCTACTGTCAAATCGGGGGTGGGTCAGGGTGGGGACGTGGGACCATCTGCTCTGGAAGCCCACAATAAGGAGGCCATTGCCCATAGGGACTATAAATCCAACAGTAGAACCTACTGAAAGTTGGTCTGCCTTCCATCATCACAATTCTAAAGAACGTCAGTGATAAAGAAGCTCCCCCCACAAAAGAGTTTTGTAGTTAATGTTATAAACAACTGCCATGGTTACTGTTCAGTTTTATTAATACAGATGTTAACTTCAAATGATCAGGTTTGTATTACTTATCTCTTAATA